AAAAAAAAAAAACCCAAAAAAAAAAACATGAATTTAGGTCCTTCCACTAGGAAAAGCCGGTCAATCTGATAGACTTGCTGAGTTGGATATTTAGTCAGCTGCCACATGTACGAAACAGTGAAAAAAATGCCAGGTGTCACATTGACCGACTTTTCTCGATGATGAAAGGACCTTAATTTAGTTTTTCTTTTCCAGTTACATGTTTCGCAAAATCAACGCAATCACCAAATAATTTGTCAATTTGGTATTAGTTACATACTAAATTTCCAATTTTTGCCACAAATGCTTAAGTTGTTTGTTGTCATATATGTCATGTTGGACCATTGATTAGCTTTTGTAACGTGCTCAAAATGTATATATGCGCGCAGGTATCCAGGTGATGTAGATAAGCACAATTTAGCCCGCCAAACGGGTCTCTCCAGAAGCCAGGCAAACTCATTTTCTCTCTTTCCTCTCTTATTTATTTATTATTATTGAAAAATACTACCGTCTCGTTACGAATTCATTTTGTCAGTATTTGTAACTGTTAGATCATCATGTAATAACTGTCGAAGATAGTTGATCTAACGGTACCCGACGAAAAGATTCCGTAACGAAATCGTAGCATCTCCCTTTATTATTATAATTAAAATAGTAAGAAAATAAAATTACAATGGTTGAAATTATTTTCAGATATATATGTATATATATATTTTTTTTTCATGCCGCCACCAGGTTTCGAACTGGTTCATAAACGCGAGGGTGAGGCTGTGGAAGCCCATGGTGGAGGAAATATACTTAGAGGAGCTCAAGGAGGGCCCACCAACCAATAACAGCTCACCCAGGCCCAACGACCGAAAGCTCACCAGCAACCAGCTGGGCCGGGTCGACCCGGAGTCCGTCTTGCCCATAACCAACCACCCAAACAATGTCGAGTTTCCGAATCGCTCGACCCAGGGCGGGGTCTCGCTGACCCTGGGCCTGCACCAGCATGGTTCAGGCGTGGATTCACGGTTCTGTTCCTCGTCCAAGGGTTCGCTAATATACGGTAGGGTGCAGGGTAAGGGTATGGAGGAGTGTCAGACGTCGGTGCAGTACACGTCGCCTTACCGGAATATGATGGGTGCACAGTTGCTGCATGACTTGGCCGGTTAGATTCAGTTTGTTACTGGGTAAAGTGTTTGTTTGGAGATCACTATGAAAACAATTTTTATCTGCAATTTTGTATACATTGCTACGCGTGGTATACATTAAAAATAGTTGCGATTAGGAAGAACAATTTTTTTAATTATCTGCAATATTTAGTGTTGGGGGTTGTTGTGTACAGTGAAGGGTATTTAGATTATGTGGGTGAAATTTGGATAGTGTTATATATATTTGGTTTTAGGGGAAATGCTATAGTCCCGTTATGGAACAATTCTGTCGGGGTTTGAAACCGTTAGATCATCATGTAGCCATCGAGATAGTTGATGTAACGGTTTCAAACCTTGACGGAATGGTCCCGTAACGAGACTTAGTATTTTCCGTAAAGGCGTTAGATCATAATGTAAGTTGATCTATCGGTTTCAAACCCCGACGGAATGGTTGCGTAACGGGACCATAACATCTCCCTGGTTTTAACCAAAGTAGAAAAATTGGTCGATGTATCTGTTGAATTTTTTTTTTTTAACAAATAACACCCTAGGGGTGGGGGTTAAGGCCGAACCCCCAACATGTACATAAAAAGGCTTTAAATGGACTGGAAAATCACAAAGATACAAGTCTAATGTCTGGTATACATCAAGTCAAACGAAATACAGAGCAAAAAAAATACAAGAAAAAGTTGACAACTGCAGCGAGAAATACAAAATAACAGATCCTGGACCTGGGAGAGTCCCGGTGAAAAAGTCAGCAACATAGTGTGGCAGATGCGCCAAAAGGTAGTACCGGCTACACAAATCTGAATGAAGGTATCCCATCTGGTCCATCTGTATGAGGGTGCGGAAGCGCAAAGGGATATCGTCAAGGTAAAGAATGCGTCTCTGGGGGTGCATGGAGGATTCCATGCCAGCGAGGAAGTCAGCAGGCCGGTTCCCCTCGCGGAAGATGTGCGAGATCCGAAAACGAATCGACCGAAGAGTGGCTCTAAGTAACAATAGGAGAATTTCAATTTGTTTGATTTTGATAATATTATTTAATAAAGAATAATTAATTTGATCTGTTGATTTGAATAATGTTATTCATAAAAAGTAATAAATATTTTTATGTATATTTTTTTATTACACAATTTGTAAATCAATATGGTAGTATATTTATATAATCATGGACGGATTTAGCTTAGGCCTGGGCTGGGCTGAAGCCCAGGCCTGTTTTTTTTTTTTTTACACCTACTAACTTCAAATTTTCTTTTATTTTGGCCTTAGATTAACCTTAGCCCAGCCCAACCAAATAAAAAAAAAAAAAACAGCCAGCAGGCCCAATTTCCCAACTCAAGTTTACATTTAAATATTAATTTGTAGTCTTAAGGATATAACAGGCCCATAAATAAAACAAGATTCCATTTATGAAACCAGAGATGTGTAATTCCAAAAAATAGTCCATTTAGTTGTTCCATATTAAAAAAATAAAAAAATAAACAATAACTACTCTCTCTCTCTCTCTCTCTCTCTCTCTCTCTCTCTCTCTCTCTCTCTCTCTCTCTCTCTTGTCTTGCATTCTCTTCTTCTCTCTTTTCTTTTAACGGTTTTTTTTGTTCTTCCCTTTCCTTCTTCTTCTTCTTTTTCTTCAAATATGAAGCCCTAAAAATCAAACACAAAAAAAAAAAAGAGATCAATCAATTAATTATATACATTCATAACAATCAAAATAATTAACAATAAATCAACAATATAGCATCTTTCAAGCAACATAAAAAGTTAAAAACAACATAAAAACAATAACATATCAATCTTTTTGAGAAAGAAAAAACAAAAATAAAAATTCATCATTAGAGAAATCAATAAAAAAGGGTTGAAAAATAGATTTTTTTTTTTGTTTTTCTGCACAATAAAAGATAGAATGCGTAAACAATAAAAAATTAATCGCAACAATATTACCCTTAACAATAACCAGCATAACCAAAACAACAAAAAAATTACCATTTGTAACAATAATCAGCATAACAAGCACACACGAGCACAATTTCAGAAATATACACCAAACATAATCACACAAAATCCAAAATCTAAGTTTTAATTTTATTTCCCAGATTTAAGTTTTAATTACATTTTCCTTATACCAATACTATCACCTTGGCCTAAGACTCTTTTGCGTTCTTTTTTTTTTTTTTTCTGCCATCTAATCTTTGTCTATGAGGATTGCGTTAACTGGCCGCCGAATTTTGCCGTCAACTCGTCGAGCACAAATTCAGTTAATAATTGAAAAAAAATATTATATGGTTTTTATGTAAATGAGTATTTAAATCTAGCTTAGTTATATCAAAAAAAAAAAATTCTAGCCCAGTCTACTTTTAGGGGGTTGTATTCAATTGCAACTTTTAGAGACTTTTTAAGACTTTTAGAATTCTGGTGTATTCAATTAGAACTTTTAAAGACTTCTAAAAAGTTTACATGTATTCAATTGAGACTTTTAATGACTTTTAATAAGTCTCTAAAAGTCTCAGGGTATTCAATTAAAACATTCTGAGAGTCTTTATAAGTCACCCGATATTCAAAACAGAAAGACTTTGTGAGACTTTTTAAATTTTGAGACTTTTGGAGACTTTTGTAACAAAATTACAAAGGAAAAGTCTCAACAGAAATCTCATCAATATTGGTGAGATTTTGCTGGACTTATGACTCTTTTCACGCTCTTTTTTTTTTCTTTGTAACACGACTTTGTATCCCATATCATTTTCATGTTGTATTATTTTACTTATTTATTTTGATACCTTGTGTAAGTTTTTTATTTTCATTATATATTATTGTGATTTTTTTATTTTATATATTCTTTATTATGCTTATTTTATGTGTGTATACCTTATTTTTTCATTTTGCTATCTTGTGAATTTGACTTTTCAAAGGTTAATGCTTCCATATTGCACTTGCAAATAATTTATTTGTTATTTCTTTTTATTTGTAAATGTTTATTTCAAAATATTAAAAAAATTATTTTATTTTCAAATAGTTTATTTGTTAATATTGAAATGTTTTGAATATTATTGATAATTTTATAAGATACAATTACTGTTTTTCGGCATGTTTGTATCTTGTAAAAATATAACCTAATAATATTTTTCTAATATAACAACATTATGCAAAAAAAAATCAATAAATAATTAAATAAATATATCTTAATTTGAGTTGATTATAAGTGTCGTTATAGTAGAGATGTCTAACACATATTTGACCTTGTACTCTTTTAACAAACAAATGTAAACTTTTTAAATTTGATGATTTTTGTGGACTTTGTAGAACTTTCATGACTTTGGTGGACTTTTTAAGACTTTCAGAGAATTTTCATCAGTGACTTTTGAAGACTTTCATAATGGACTTTTTAAAACTTATTGAGACTTTTATATACTTGCAGTTATAATATTATATTTGAATATTAATAAACGTAACATAATAATTAATATAAATAAGAATAAATAAAAAAACAAAAAGATATTGTATATTTTAATCCTCTAAAAATTTATGAATAAACTCATTTTTATGCGAAATGAGTTATTCACGAACAAATTGTTTAGGATTTTAGATTTATTAAACGAGTAAATCGATCCGAACTTCAACGAGTCGAATCGAGCAGAGCCTTACATTTGTTTGTTAAAAGAGTACAAGGTCAAATATGTGTTAGACATCTCTACTATAACGACACTTATAATCAACTCAAATTAAGATATATTTATTTAATTATTTATTGATTTTTTTTTGCATAATGTTGTTATATTAGAAAAATATTATTAGGTTATATTTTTACAAGATACAAACATGCCGAAAAACAGTAATTGTATCTTATAAAATTATCAATAATATTCAAAACATTTCAATATTAACAAATAAACTATTTGAAAATAAAATAATTTTTTTAATATTTTGAAATAAACATTTACAAATAAAAAGAAATAACAAATAAATTATTTGCAAGTGCAATATGGAAGCATTAACCTTTGAAAAGTCAAATTCACAAGATAGCAAAATGAAAAAATAAGGTATACACACATAAAATAAGCATAATAAAGAATATATAAAATAAAAAAATCACAATAATATATAATGAAAATAAAAAACTTACACAAGGTATCAAAATAAATAAGTAAAATAATACAACATGAAAATGATATGGGATACAAAGTCGTGTTACAAAGAAAAAAAAAAGAGCGTGAAAAGAGTCATAAGTCCAGCAAAATCTCACCAATATTGATGAGATTTTTGTTGAGACTTTTCCTTTGTAATTTTGTTACAAAAGTCTCCAAAAGTCTCAAAATTTAAAAAGTCTCACAAAGTCTTTCTGTTTTGAATATCGGGTGACTTATAAAGACTCTCAGAATGTTTTAATTGAATACCCTGAGACTTTTAGAGACTTATTAAAAGTCATTAAAAGTCTCAATTGAATACATGTAAACTTTTTAGAAGTCTTTAAAAGTTCTAATTGAATACACCAGAATTCTAAAAGTCTTAAAAAGTCTCTAAAAGTTGCAATTGAATACAACCCCCGAAAATTCTCTGAAAGTCTTAAAAAGTCCACCAAAGTCATGAAAGTTCTACAAAGTCCACAAAAATCATCAAATTTAAAAAGTTTTAAAAAGTCTTTAAAAATCTCAATTGAATACACCCTCCTTAGTTTCTGGATCCGTCCCTGTATATAATGTAAATCAGTACAGTAGTGATCTTATATATAAACTAGTGTTTGATCTTGTGTACATGCACAAATGTAAATAAAATTTTATATGTCATATATGTATTTATGTAATATCTAAAATCATAAGATAGATAATGAGCAAATCACATCTTATAAATCTTATCGTTAGTAAAAATAATATAAATTTTTTAACTTACACATAATCTTTATTTTGATGCAATCATGGCTGATTATGACCAATTAATTTGATAAAACATATTGAAATTATTAATTATAACAAATGTGTACGAAATTTTAAAGGATTTGCTTATGCCACAAACAATAATTAACTACTTTACTACGCAAAACTTGCTTAATGAGTAAAAAAAAAAAAAGAATTAATAATTTTATACAAATAGTTTGACAAAAGTTTTAGAATAGAATAATATTTAATGTGACTTTATTAGTAATTAATAGTAGTAATTGTATGATAAAATAAATAAAAATTATAATTGCTACCAGTTGTTAGAATTTGTTTATGTGAATCTCAAAAAAATGACTTACGAAACTTTAAGGAAAACAATAAAACGAAAAAAGTCGAGGCCCGTAAAATACACTCTCCCTAATATAAAATAATTTTGTATATTATCTGCAGTTCTCGGCTAACGCCTCCAGGATAAAAATGACCTTTGATTCGTGTATAGCGGTAATTCAATACACAAACCTTAAGGGTGTGATTGGATATAAACTGAATTAGTAAAAAATCAATTAAAATTAAAATTTAACTCAATCTTTTAATTAAACTCCATCATTAATCTCAATATTATCAATATATAATTAGATACTATAACCAATGATTCTTACGCATCATTAGAAACATAAATATCAAATAAATAGTGTGATTTGACATAAAAATAAATTTACTTTAGCGGTATATATCCAATCCACCATGCGTTGCACGTTCGAAAATAAAGCTTATTATATTCGTTGCACTCACATACAAGGGAAAATGAAGCATCACTCATGCGGGGAGGTAACGAATAAATGTGTCGTTCAAATCGTAATGGAAAAAAATTATCTGGTGGAAAATGAAAATAGAAAAATGAATTTTTTTTTTTTTTTTTTTNNTTTTTTTTTTTTTTATTTCTCGGAGAAGTAAATTATTTTGAAATTATGAATATGTCTAGGAGAACTAATTATATTTGAAGTCCATATTGTTGCAATGTGTATAATCACTGGCTAAGAAGTCAACCAATAATTCTAATTTTTAGGCACTTCATTTAAAGTGCACAACCATCGTTGAAACGGGGAATGCTACAAATGCTATTATATTACAAGTCTCGTTACGAAATCATTCTGTCGGGGTTTGTAGTTGTTAGATCATAACGTAATCGTCGAAAATAGTTGATCTAATGGTTACAAACTTCGCCGGATATTGAAAATTTTTATATGATCTTGTAGCCCCTTTAATTTCCGTGCCGACAACATATCCGTGTTTCACGAAAAAATTTCGACGATAAGACGTCCAATTTTCCGGTCAAAGGTCGTAGATCTAAATTTTTTACGACCTTTGACCGAAAAATTGGACGCCTTGTCGTCGAAATTTTTTCCTCAAACTCGGATATGTTGTTGGCACGGAGGAGAACTACAAGATCATATAAAAATTTTCAATATCCGGCAAAGTTGGCGGCGGCGGGTGGCGGTTGGCGGCGGCGGTCTGGCGGACGAGACAAAATTACAACACTTAATAAAAGTTATGTATTTTTTGCCAAATTAAAAATGTTGAGTTTTAGTTGCAATTAAACAAAAGGTGATGGTTTTTTTATGCAATTAACCCTTCTAATTTTTAGGCACTTCATTCAAAGTGCACGACCATTGTTGAAACGAAGAATGCTACAGATGCTATTATATTGACGGAAAATGCTACAGTCTCGTTACGGAACCATTCTGTCGGGGTTTGTAACTGTTAGATCATAACGTAATCGTCGAAAATAGTTGATCTAACGGTTATAAACTTCGACGGAATAATTTTGTAACGGAACTGTAGCACCTCCTTAATAGCTAAAAACTAACTACCAAACATGCATACAGCTATTACTTCAATTCCCATCTCCAAAATTCATATCAAATCACATTTGGCGAAATTGTTGTCAATAAAACCTAATGGTTAGTCCCTATTGTTAGAAATCAATACCTAAAATACACAATAAAAATGAAATATACGAAAGTATGACATTTCAAAATATAAGTATTTATTTTATTTTTTTTTGGTACAAAGTAGATTCAATTTCTTTCAGTGATGATACCTTACTGGAGCTTATAATATAATATCAATATAAAGAGGTACAAAACTCCTTTAAGGAATCATCACTTTTATTGTCTGGCAAATAAAAACAATGTTCAAATTCCTTGCTTGATTTGTCAATACTCACAACTCACCTCAAGCCATATATATACACTGATACACAGACATAACCACAAATAGCTATCATAGTACTACATTAAACTTACACACACCAATCCCACTTTCTACTAAAAATGTCCAAGCTGCCCGTGTCCGAGTTCGTGTTCGAATCCGTCGAGCAAAAAATGAGAGAAATGAACGGCTACGCCCGTACAGGAAACACCCTGCAACTTCACTCCAAAATTAAAAACGACCCTTTTATCCTCCAAAAAATCGACAAAATCCCGTTCGCCCACACTCCCCTGCATGAGGCCGCAGCCACCGGTCAGACCATCTTTGCAATCGAGATCATGAGCCTGCAGCCATCACTGGGGCGGAAGCTCGACCCGCAGGGGCTCAGCCCGCTGCACTTAGCCCTCAAGAATGGCCACAAGAAAATGGCCATTTCTCTAGTGAAGTTCGATAAGCAGCTCGTGCGGGTCAGAGGGTTCGAGGGGTTCACCCCATTGCATTATGCCGCGAGATACTATCCGGATCTTGATGTGCTGGCATGCTTCTTGCTTGAATGCCAAGCGTCGATAAACGACCTGAACAGTCGGTTCCAGAGCGCGGTGCATTTGGTGATGGAGAGTGAGAACAGCAAGGCCATTGACCTGGTCTTGATGTGGCTCGTGAGGACGGCTCGGGAGCCGGTTCTTGGGTGGAAGGACAAGGACTCGGACACCGCCCTACATGTGGCTGCTCGACATGATTGCGTAGAGGTATTGTATTTCCTAAGTGTCCTTTATCGTGCCCAACTTGTGCATGCATGCATGACTTGTTTTGAATGGTATTGTATGTTATATTTCACGTGCTTTGTGCATGACTTGGTATCATCAGACTCATAATCGAGCATTTAATTCCTTAGTAGCACGGTGATAATGAAAGTATTGATTTTGTACTAAGTAATTTATTATTGCCACATGTCAATTATGAGATATGAAAATAGAAATGGAGTTGAAGCGCTAGCTACTAAAAATATATTAAATATCTACTGAAATCACTAACCAAAAGTATGTATACGTAGTTGGGGAGAATTTTAAAATTGGTCCTATAATTTGGCCACAGTCCAAAAAACCACTCTTATATTGACCACTTTCAAAATTGGTCATATAATTTCAGAATTTAATCAAATTTGGTCCCTTTTTAATCAAATTATGTCTTTTTTTAATCACATTTTAATCTATGTTCTGGATAAAAGGGACCAAATTTGATTAAATTTAGAAATTATAGGACCAATTTTGAAAGTAGTCAATATATGGGTGGTTTTTTGGACTGTGGCCAAATTATAGGACCAATTTTAAAATTATGCATATGTAGTTGTATCAATCACACTTTAACGAACATTCATCAAGGTTCAAACTTCAAATTCATTATGGTTGTTACTTTGGTCCTTAATTAATTATTACCTCATTTCCCTCCAATTTCCCAATTTTAAACTATATGAAATTAGAGATTTAGTCATGTAACTGACACAAAAATAGCTTAGTAATCGCGTTGATTTTACAAAAACACCCACTATCTACACAAAAAAAAAAAAAAACTTGACTTTTGGTCTTTTCACCGACAATTGTATTCCTATACACAGGCGGTGAAAGCCATGGTGAAGATCGCCAAACTAAACAAACGAAACTCCAGCAACCAAACCCCTCTCGATGTGGCCCACGAATCCGGCAACAAAAAAGTGTCCGAGGTCCTAATCAAGGCCCGCGCCAAGAAGGGCGGAGACCTCGCGCGCAAGGAAACTAGGGCCGACTATCTGTGCTCCGGCACGAACCTCCTCGAGACAGGCATCCGCGGCTACTGCTTCCTCCTCAAGGACCTCACCGTCGAGATGCGCAGCGTCGTCCTCGTCGTGGCCATCCTCATCGCCACCGCCACCTACCAGGCCGTCCTCCAGCCCCCCGGCGGTGTCTACCCACCCGACTCCTCCTCCTCCTCTCCCTCTCCCCCGACCATTAGGATCTCCGGCGGCCGCCGCTCCCTGGGGACTCCAGTGCCGGCGCCGGCTCCGGCGCCGGAGGAGCAGTCGGAGGCAGGGAAAATGGTGATGGAGAGCGGGATGTACGTGCAGTTCATGCCGGCAAACACGTTGGCGTTCACGCTGTCGATGGTGATAATAATATTCGTGCTGCACGGGCGGCCGTACAACATTATACTTCACGGGTGCCTGATATTCCTGGCGTACAGCTACCTGGTGGCGATGGAGTCGATCGCGGGGGAGAAAGAGGGAGGGGTGGCGCAGCTGATGTTCGTGCTGTCGTGGGGGGTGTTGTCGTCGGCGTTCGGGGTGAAGATGCTGTACTACTTGGTGAAGGCGCTGTTCGAGGACGTGTGGTGGCTGCCAAGGTGCGGGGTCGCGTGGCACAACTGGTCGTACAGGGCGGGCTGTCCACTCTGTCGCCGGTGCATGTCGCTAGCGCGAAATCTCAGGAGGCAGTGCAAGTTGATTCAGAGGCTCGAAATATGAGGAAACTATCGTGCTGTGATAATTAATCTATTTTTTTATTCCTTTTCTTTTTCTCTTTCAATTTATTTTATTTTTTGATTGTTTTTGGCTTTTGTTTGATGTGTATTTGCTTGTTTGTTTGTTTGTTTGTTGTGTGTTGGGGGAATTGAATATGTTTGGTGAACATTGTATGTAATGTCATCCACACCACACTGAAGATTTATGGCAAACTTTTTTTTTTTTTTTTTTTCCTGGTACAATGAAGAAGTTAAATGGCTTAGAAATTTGGTTAGGCTAGGACGCGCCAGGTAAGATACCTCAATAAGATCATGATTGAGCCATTGCCCTAAGCCACCAGGATGATCAGACACACGCTGCAAACCAACCGAGGACTAAGCCGCCATAAATTGACTCAATGAGAAAGGCCAAATCTATAAACATAAAGTACTAGTACAATGCCCGTGTATTACACGGGTGCTTGCTAATTTTTTCCTTAAAATCTGAAATTATTGAGAAAAAAATAGTTGAAAATTTAAAAAAATTTTATAAAAATATATATTATTATATATTTAGTATGACACTTTTTATTTTTGTGACTTACTTGTGTTATATTATAATAATTTTTTTAACTTACAACATATAAATACATTAAACAAAAATATATAAACTGAGAAATAATTTTATTTTTCTAATAAAATTTAATAAATATTATTTTTTATTATTATAAAGGTAAATATTATTTATTTATTGTATATATACAATATGGATGTCAAATCGAAGATCATGAAAAGATGATTAATTTGATATATTATATATGTAAAACCGATAAGAAATACAAAAATTATCAACTTTTAAAATACATTTATAATTCAATAGCTAATTGAAGGAAACAAATCAAAAGTCAGGGATATATTAGTCACTTAGTGTCTCACTATGTAAAATTACAAAGAATTAAAGGGTTATATTAGTACAAGTGATATTAAATTACCTAAGTTAGCTAAATAATATTTATGGAATGTCCGAACCTAGATATTAATTATTAATATATCAATATTATTTGACCGAACCTAATTACGAAGCATGATTCTTCGCCAAGTAAGATTTCGAAGCACCAGAAGCAGCCACGTAGACTAAGCGCATTCGGAAATTATATATAAGGGGATAACTAAATACAATAAGGCTTTATATTTTATTTTGTTTTACTTTTAAAATTTTTGAAATAAAGTTATATACAAATTTCTACGAATTGAGTATATAAAATGTATATCATTTTAATTAAATATCACTTTATTAATTTTATTATTTATTGTACATATATTATTATAATTTTCCAATAAAAATAATTTCTTTTGTCATACAATTGCTATTTTTTTCGAGTACACATATAACACAAAAGTTATTATATGAAACTAAAAATATAAAAATTGATTAACATAAAACTCAAAATATAAAAATGCAAAAAACAATCTAATAAGTTTGAGTCTTGGTGTTTTTATTTTTGTGTTTTTAGCGTTCTCGAGTATTAAGTTGTTGGTTGTTGGTTTTAGGTGGTTTTCTGACATGTCTTTCCATATTTACTGTTTGTATTCAGTTGTTGGTATTCTGCTGGTGGCTGCTGTTTGCACATTTGTGCTTTTTATATAATATTTCTATTGTTCCGAAAAAACAAAATCTAAGTTTGAGTCTGCAAATTGGATTGAGAAAATTGCAATTTTAGTCCAATAACTTAGGTTGTTTCCCATTTTAGTCCACTAACTTAGGCCGATCCGAATTTGGTCCAAAAACTCCCAAAAGTTAGTTAAATCAGTCCAATTTCGGTCCTGTCGCCGAAATTGATTGGTCAATTTCAGTCCAATTTTAGTCCAATTGGACTAATTTAACTAACTTTTGGGAGTTTTTGGACCAAATTTGGATCAGCCTAAGTTAATGGACTAAAATGGAAAATAGCCTAAGTTACTGAACTAAAATTGCAATTTTCTCAATTGGATTTTCCCACAGCTGAACTGTGTCTTCTCTGCAGCGCCACCAGTCTCTGAAACCCACGACTCTTGAACATCAGCAAAGGCCATTCACACCCACCATTTTTGCTGTTCAAATAAGCAATAATTAAATCCCTCTTTCTTAATAATCAATTTTTTTTTTTTTTTTTTTTTTTTTGTTTTATATAAATATATATTGATTTGATCTCATCTGCTTCATCCCCATGTCTCCAGGTACAATCTCGTATACCCTTTCGCACAATTCATCCGTTTGCCCCCATTAACTCCTTATCACTTTCTTCTTCTGTGCTGCGAAATTTAACAGCTCGCAGAGCACTTATGTCGAGCATGGCGAATGCGATGTCGATGAGGCACGGACTCTCGCTATGGTGTCCCCAGTCAACTCCGGTGAATCGAGTTTCTCGGCCTTCTTCAGTCGCTACCACGAGCTTCCGAAGGAGATTCTCCGTTTCGGCTTCATCTTTCGCCAATGAAAATCGAGAGTAATCAAGCATTATGGCCTTCTCAGTGTTTAATTGATGTCCCTTTTACTCGTAGCTATCCTTGTTTGATTTCCCTTTTTTTTTTTTTTTT